ATTAGCTTCTCTGTTGAATTCTTGATTTCATAGAATAAATAAAGGGGGTTTCTAGTGGAAATGCCAGGGAAAAAGAAAAGCTTTAAAAATCAAAATCACTTTCCATTTAATAAGGCATCACTAATTTAAGGAATTCAATTGTTAAAAATACCAGTCATAATTACAAAATATGGTAATAACACCACCAAACTGTAACCCTTTTTTCATAATCTCCCTGGGTAAGTAAACAATGTGGAATGTGTCTTTTACTTCTATTATCCAGTTGATAAATTCACCTTCACAAGGATTTACCAAGAACAGAAAGCCTTTTCTTTTACCACTGCCTACCCAATGTAAACAGGACTGGTCCTAATCAGATACTTTAAGGTCTAATTCCAAGGAAAAGCTTTGATGGGTTGGGGGAAGGGTACCAAATAGGATATCCCACAGTAACTTTCATTCTAATTTTTAAACAGCAAATTAAAAGTGAAAAAATTTGTAAGCTAAAGTCCAAACATGTATTTTATAATACAGCATTTTTCTTGGTTTGCACTTTAACGTAATAATAGTATGATTTTTAAAAATGAGCTAATTAAAAAAAAATCACCCAAGATGGTGTCACACTACTGACAACCAATGTAATTTAGAATAAATCAAACTAACTTATTGGTGTCAGAACAAATAGAAAGAAAGCTGGAATAAAAATCTAGACTTCAAATTTGTTTGCCATGCAATTATTTTGTCTATTCCAGAATTATATGGTAACTTAACTGATTAAGCCAGAATTGCATTTTTCCTTAAAAATCATGATTTAATTTTCTATTTCCCAACAGGATAGTTACAGAATCACCTCTGTGATCATAGTAACATATGGATCGCTGTTATAGACAAATTCAACAGTGTACCAAAGAAGCATTTATCTGGAAAATTATTTTGAGTAGATTCACATTGAAGTTTCTCATGAGCATTAATCAAACATGCCTGCCTCTGCTGAACATGCTAAACCAATTAGCTAATTGAAAAGCAAGTGGTAGCCATGTTCTTTTTCATTATGAGGAAACAAAGAAGAGCAATTCTTAAAACTTCATTTTCTCCAAATATCTATAAAAGCATTATAAGAATATGTATTAAATACTTTATACAGGCTTATATGAGTAGATATGAGTCAATTGGATCTGAGAGCTATCTAATTTAAAAGAAGTCAATCTCGCACAAGTTATATTTTTCTACATTATTCAAAATTGTGGTTTTTTGTATGGTTGAATTTGCATAAGTAAACCTTTCATAATTCAGCTAGATTTTTAAGAAAATTTACCATATAGAAAACAAAACAACCACTTAAGAAAAACTAGCTTATCAATCCACAGGTCAAAGATTCATCCACTGTAATACACTGGGATATATTGGGATAACATTTCTATGCAACTTGCAGAAAATCACATGGGTGGACAATATAATAGAATAACTGAAATGAATTCATTATGCTGACAGAAGCCAAACATAAAAAAGTACATAACATATGATCTCATTTACATAAAACTAGTACAGGCAAAACTAATGTTTGTGCTAGAAAGTCAAATCAGTGTTCGCCTGCTGTGGGGAGGGTAAAACTGACTGTCAAGGGAAAGGAGGGATCTTTCTGAGGTGAGGGAAATGCTATCTGTCTTCACTGGAGTAGTCAAAATTCAAACTACATTTAAAATATGTGTGCTTTATTATAACTAAAAAAGTGGACAAAAAGGCACAATGAACTGACTCAAAAGGATGGAATTAAGGAGTTACACGATAGTATAATAAATTGTCAAATAATTACATGTTTTTCTTCTCACTGAGAGGTGAAGTCTTGTATTTCTTGACTCTGGGTTGACTATGTGACTTGCTTGGGCCAATGGAATATTAGCAAAATCTGACACAATCAGAGGCTTAAAAATGTGTACACAATACAATTTGCCTAATTGATGCTACTGGAATCCTGAGACAACAATGTGAATAAGCCCCTCTAGCTTGCTGAATGAGAGACATGAGGTCCAGTACCACTAGCTAACAGAGTGCCAAGTGGTCATTTATGTGAGATCACTGTTCACCAGGATAATGTAGAAACATGAATGAACTCAGCCAAGATTAGCAGAGTTACTCAACTGACCTCAAGCCAGATCTGCAGAATGAGGCATTTTAAGCCACAAAGTTAGCAAAAGGTAATAGATGTAAAGATTTATGGAACCTGACTTCTAGGAAGAAAACACAGAACATCTGTGGAGGAAAGCTTCAAATGCACCAAGAGATTGTGCATAAAACTTGTTACTGGTGTCAAGAGATAAAAATAAATGTTGTCTGACAGGCAATTCTCAGTTAAGAAGTTTCCAAGTTGCTATACAGAAACCTGACATGACCAACTGAGAAATGTGTTATCTTCCTGCAGTGAGATCCAAAATGAGTAAGAAACTGACAAGAAAAATTCCTTATATTATCCTTTCCCATGGAGTAATGAAAAGGCAAACCACATCTTCAGTAAAGAGATCTCAGGGCAAAACCCAAAGACTGAAGAGCACAAGTCAACAAGGCCTTGTATCATTGAAAACAAAGGAAGAAAAAAAGAAATAAAAGCCTAAAAAAACAAACTCTACTATTAAGAGTTTTATGTCTGGAATGAAGAGAAACAAGTGTGGGAGAGATGTCATTTTCTACAGGGGAAAATAACTGAGGGAGTAAGACATTACTTTTATGATAGCTCCAGATAATTTATGCATGTCATATCTTTTTAGAGGTGATATATTATGACCCCTAAAAGTAGCAACTCTGGCATCAGACTGCCTGGGTTTGAAATCAGATCTGTAATTAACCAGCTCTGTCAACCTGGGAATGTTATATCTTTCTACTACTTACAATCCTCATTTCTGAAATAAGAAAATTATAACTAAATAAGTTCTCTATGAATGTGTGCTATTATTATTGTTATTGCAATAATCAGAAGAAACATAAAGCAAAATTCAAGTACATAATTAATAACACAATGTAACAAATACTACTATAATTTGAGAAAGCAGCAGAGGACTGTCCAAGAGCTTCGGACCCTCCACCCACGTGGGAGACCAGGATGAAGCCTGGGCTCCTGGCTTCAGCCTGGCCCAGCCCTGGTCATTGAGGCCATTTAGGGAATGAACCAGCAGAAGGAAGATTTCTCTCCCCTCTTTTTCTCTCTGTAAATCCGACTTTCCTATAAATAAATAAATCTTAAAAAAAAAACAAACACAAAAATCAGCTGACATTTATTGGCCGTGTGATATTGGATCAATTATACACATCTCTGAGTCCAGAATAATAAAAGTATTCTGCAGACTGAAAGAGTTGCAAGTCAATACACTTGAAAAGAAAGATAGAAGTAGAAATTGAAAGGACATACAAAGAAGTATATGTATATTTACTGCTCTGGATAATTTCATCTTGCATTATTCATTGAAATGTATACTTACATCAGGTTATTTTTCTATGAATATAATAATTTAATAAAAAGTCACTTAAAAAATACAGTTGTGGGTCAGGCACTGTGGCATAGTAGGCTATTTCTCTGCCTGCAGCGCCAGCATCCTCTATCAGCTCCAGTTTTTTCCCTAGATGCTTCTCTACTGATCTGGCTCCCTGCTTATGGCCTGGGAAAGCAGTGGAAGATTGGCCCAAGTGCTTGGGCCCCTGCACCCCTGTTGGGGACCTGGAAGAAGCTCCTGGCTCCTGGCTCTATGGGATAGAAGAGAGGGCTAAAGAAACAAAATCTTTCTGAGTCAGACTTAGTTCTAAGGAAGTTCTTGTATTTGAGACCTTAATTAGGATGGAATGAGGAGAAATCAAAAAGTAACAAAAAGAAGGAAGACTTAAGAAACCATGCCAGGAAAGGGAAAGCTATCCTATCCTATATCCAACTCCACCCCTCTACTTACCTCCTATCCTGTTTGTTCTCTTAACACTTACTTCCTCCTAAAGTCTCAGAAAACTAGCTCACTTAAATGTAAAGAACAACAAAAATACTATGAACCAACTCCATCAGAAATTATTGAGGAAAAAAAATCAAACAGAAAATGATAAAAAATAATTTGCAAAGAAAAAAATGATATAAAAGGTAGGAAAAGAAAATGTGATACAATTGGAGACCTAGAAAAGAAAACTTAAGCAAAAGAAAAAAAAATACCTGTAATTCTAAAAGCAATTTTTTCTCAAATAAAAGGGCTGAATCCACATCCTAAATCAGTGTATTGTATATCTGGAAAAACTAACCCAAGAATAATTAACAAAACATATAATAAACTACTGCAGTTTAAGATTTAAAAAAAAAAATCCCTTGTAAGTCTAAATCTCTTATGAAAGAGAAAGAAAATCAGGACTGTATCAGACTTCTTGACAGCTGCATTTTACCCTAAAAGACAAGAGAACAGAATGTTTAAGACACATGAGTAAGTAAATATAAGCCAAAAGGGTGCATAAAGAGCCAAGCTTTCCTTTAAATATAAAGGCTGATAATTACAAGCATAAATGATGTCAGATAAATTTTCCCATGAAAAAAATTTCCTGGAAAGTCTCAGAAAACAGAACATCAGAGCACTAAGAAACAAATGGAAAACTTTGAGTATGAGATCTTAAGTTTAAGCAGACTGCACAAACTATGTTTTACAAAGTACAATGTTTCACTTTTAGGCTTTCCTTTTTCCTTTTGTATTTCCTGAAACACCCTCCCTAATAATATATACCCAATCTTCTTCAGAAATGTATCATGCAATGTCTTTATCCTTGCTGGATAATTACTTTAGATGCCAAATGAAGCAACTGAGATTTCCAGATTGGATAAAATGCTGACTCTTTTGGGGGGTTAAAAAAAAAGTGGCCCTAAATTGATCATACACAATTAAAACACATTGGATAAAGGTGCAAGGCATAAAAAGTACAATCACATTTGGTTTTATACTCTGTAGAAACAAAAATAACTAAGAAATACATTAACTGACATACATGATAATAAAATTATCAATACTAACCTGATAAGCTCTGTTTATTTGACTAGCTGCCCAACTAGCATATTTCATGTTGTCCTTTTTCATTTTTGCACTCGCTTTTGCATTAGAAGCAATATGACTTGCCGACTAAAAACAAAGAAGCATCAAAAACAAAATTCCATCTTTTATAATCAAGATAATAAAAAATAAAAGCCTTTAATGCTGTGAGATAGTTTCAAAAAAGGTACCAAACCTATTTTTAAGATAAAAATATAATTGAAGGAAATTACTGTATAAAAATTAAAATTATTTTATAGCACAATCCACATGGGAAGAAAAAGATAATTATGTACCTAGCATTGCTCCTAAAGATAAAATCCCTATCATTTAAATAAAATATCATTTAAATAAAGTATTTAAATAAATAAAACAATCAAATATTGCATTACCACTGCAGGATATTACTAGTGTTATATCTTGTTACTAAATTGTATCAGCCTTTTAAAGTTAAAATCATATAATTAAAGGGATATCAACAATTTAATATACCCTCTGCTTTTTAAAAAAAAACAAAGTTCTTAAATGGGGCCTATGAAAAACATCTGTGAATTTGTTAACTGATATGCTAATTATTAACTGTATGTTTTTATTTCTAAAAAAAGGGAAAATACAACTTTTTACTTATTCTTAAATATATTTATTCTTTTTTTTATTTTTATTTTTTTTTTATTTTATTTTTTTTATTTTTGATAGGCAGAGTGGACAGTGAGAGAGAGAGACAGAGAGAGAAAGGTCTTCCTTTGCCGTTGGTTCACCCTCCAATGGCCGCCGCTGCAGCCGGCGCACCGTGCTGATCCGATGGCAGGAGCCAGGATCCAGGTGCTTTTCCTGGTCTCCCATGGGGTGCAGGGCCCAAGCACCTGGGCCATCCTCCACTGCACTCCCTGGCCATAGCAGAGAGCTGGCCTGGAAGAGGGGCAACCGGGACAGAATCCGGCGCCCCGACCGGGACTAGAACCCGGTGTGCCGGCGCCGCAAGGTGGAGGATTAGCCTATTGAGCCACGGCGCCGGCTAATATATTTATTCTTAAAGAATCTGTCCATATGATACCTGTAGGTCTTTAATGTCACTTTTTTTGAGTATGAATTTCAGTAAATTAAGTGGTTATAAGAAAGGTTCTGGAGTAACATGCCCAGGGTGGATTCCAGCTTAATCAGTTAGGCACACTGTCTCCATCTTAAATCTCTGTATCTCAGTTTTATCATCTGTGAAATGGTAGGAGTAACAGTACCTACTCAAATACCTGATGTGTGGATTTGAGGATTTAAAACAAACAAAGCTCAAAGGTATCAACTGGCTCTGGCAGAATCCAGAAAAATTTTCTTGAAATATCTTTGAATCATCTTCTATTACACTTTGATAGTCTTTTCTAAAAATTACTTCATTTATGCGTCTTTCTTTCTTCAATCAATTATTTTTCACTGAACTGCAACAAGAAGATTCTTACCAGAAAGTCCATAAAAAGACTAGGATAAATCAAAATGTCTGCAACTACTCTATTAAAGTTTATTTTCCCAGCCCTTTTAATACAGAGAGGTGCTTATTTTATATATATATATATTTTTAAGGTTCAACAATACTTCCTGTTTCCATAGCTCTTGTAATTGACTTAAGTCTTTTCACTGGACATACATAAAAAAGGTAATTACTTCCTACAATTTCCAAACAGTTTTTCTATCTAATAAAAAATGTTTTACTCTGACATATCAGAGATCTTATTTCTAATATGTTTCATTGGTATATTTAAAAAATAATCATACAAATATCATTTAGATAAGAAATACAGTAATGTTGAGCATAAATCCAAGAATAGCAAAACAATGAAGAAATACATAATATGGTTTTGTATCATTATTTAATTTTGTAAGGGCAGATTTCAATTGTGATATGACAAAAAGTTAATTTACAATGAAATGTTAAACAGCTAGGGTGTTTTAACATTAAAAAATAAAAATGCCTTACAACCTATTGCTCATAATTGACCGTAGGAAAAAAGTTATATGTCCATCAGTAAAAGACAAACAGCCAACGAAATGTCTGGAAAAGAGAGATTTTGTAAAATAACATTGAACATGCTTCTCAACTCACCATGTAAAGCCCAAACAAAGCTCTCATATTTCTGTTGTTCAGTTTCAATGCCTGTGCAAAATACTTTCTTGAAAGTTCCAGGTTTTCAAGTCCACCTTGGGTATATTTAACCTGTTAAAAAATGCAGAGTGCTGAAATCTGTTTATTTTACTACTTTGAAATATAGCATGTTTCATCAGACCATAGGCATTTAAGTAACTGAAACAGATACTCTGTAAACAAATGTAAGATTTTAAAAGAATTCACCTTAAGAATATTAGGCATAATCTAAAACTTAAAACATAACCCAGCTCCAAAATTGTTCTATTCCATGAATATTAAGATCAATGAGTAGCCTTTGAAAAAAATAACCTCCTAAAAAGAAAACACCAGTACATTATCTATTTGAACTGCCTTGCAAATGCTTCATATTACACTTGTATTTTCTATTATTAGCATTTTAAACCTAGATTTGGATACTGAATTGCTGTTTTTCATCTACATTGATTTTTTTTAATAATGAAGTCCTTCTAACCTCATAGCATTTTGCTGTACTGTTAATAGTAGGCAAATTAAATACTTCTTATACCCTAAAATATTGCTCTTAATATAATTCCCTTAGAATACAGCTTTAAAAATTATAAATAGATGTCTCAGAAGTCATTAAAGACTGGCAATTGTGATATAATTAATGATTTTATAAGAAAACAATATAATTTATAAATTTTATACAAATACTATATAAAATACAAAAAATTTTACCTTTAAAAACTGGACTTTCAGTTCATCAGTATTTGCATCAGTGCAGCATTAAAAATTTAGAAATTTTATTCCCACAACCCTACACTTATCAGATGTTTTAAATATTTATATACTTGCCTAACATGAAGGAAATGTTTTTAGTATCATAATAATATCCAACAGCAATAAAATGAAATCACATGTACTCTTGTTTCTGAAAACACTTACTTCAGCATACTGCTGACAGTATAAGTGGTTGTGTGGATTTGTCATCATAAGCTCCTCTAAACAAAAGGCTGCTTTTGCATAGCTGAAAAATGTCAAGAGAAAAAATTAATTCTAAAAGTCATAAATTTTATTTTATTTACATCTTAAAATAATTTAGAAATAATTTCAATGATGTTACATATTTTATTCCCACAATTTAAATGCTTTCAGTAACAAAGTATTTACCCTGAATTCATACACATTAATAACATTAAATTTTTAATGAAATGGTCAAACTTAAATCCTAAAGCAGCCTATGAAAAATCAGTACGTATTACATTTGAAAAATTGGATCGGGGTGGGCATTTGGTCATGTGGTTAAGGTGTGTTTAAGATACCCATGTCCCAAATTGAAGTTCCTGGGTTTCATATCCAGCTCTGCTTCTGACTCCAGTTCTTGCATTAATGGACCCTAGGAGGCAGCAAAGATGGCTCAACAGACTTGGTTTCTGCCACCCATGTGGGAGGCCTAGATGGAGTTAATGGACCAGCAAATAGGGCTTTCTGTCTCTCTTACTACTCATTTTAAATAAGAACAGAAAAATATTTTTCATCAAATAAAAAAAAAAAACAACCTTGGGTTACTAGTATGATATCCAAATATTATTAATAATATAAGCTTTAAGATCTTAGATTAAGTTATATACAAAATAACTTGGAAATCCAGATCATTTAAAATTGTTTGTAGTGTAGGAACTAGGCATTTTATTAAATATTCACTGTTTTCTAAAAATTCTTTAAACACCTATTTACCATTATAAAAGCTTCAAACTACTTAGGTTTATTGTAAAATATCAAACTATAATAAAACTTCAAAGTAATGAAAAATAATCAAATTAGTTTTGATGTGCATTCTACTATTAAATCTTGCTAAAAATCTTCAGAATGAACTGGGAGAAACTGCTCTAGAAAAACCAGTTTTAAATCATGGGACTAAAATTCACCTTCATATATTTTTCATGTTTAAGGCTTCTAAGTATCTTCACTATTTACAGCAAATACCAAAGAACACAGGTGTTGCAAGTTTATTCCCAGTGAGGTGGTGATGTCATCACTCAACAGAAACAGGCTACCTAGACTTAGATTTGGCATCTGTGTCACAAATATGCAAAAGTACTTACCCTTTACAATAATGTCTGAAATACTTAACTTTTTAAAATACTTATTCATTTTCCTGTGTAAACTAATTAATAATAACTTTCTTCTTCTTTTTAAAATTTTATTTATTTATTTGAAAGGCAGAGTTACAGAGAGAGGGAGAGACAGAAAGAAAGGTATCCACTGGTTGACTCCCCAAATGGCCACAAAGGATACAGCTAAGCTGCACTAAAGCCAGGAACCAGGAGCTTCTTCCGGGTCTCCAACATGGGTGCAGGTGCCCAAGCACTTAGGCCATCTTCCACTGCTTTCCCAGGCCACAAGCAAAGAGATGGATTGGAAGAAGAGCAGCTGGGACACAAACCAACACTCATATGTGATGCTGGTGCCACAGGCGGAGGCTCAGCCTATTACGTCACAGCATCAGCCCCCAATAATAGTTAACTTTAAGTGCTCATTATGTGTCTTACACTGCTCTAAGTGTTACATGTATTAACTCATTTAGTCATAACAAAACCCTACCAAGTAGGAAATTATCATTACTATTCTATAAGTGGGAACACTGGAGGGCCTGGGTTCAGGTACTGGCTTCTCTTCCAATTCCAAGTTCCTGCTAATGGACACCCTCGAAGGCAGCAGATAATGACTCAAGGACTTGGATCTCTGCCATCCAAGTGGGAAATCCATTTTGAGTTCCACACTCCTGGCTCTAGTCTTACCAAGCCCTGGCATTTGGAGCCTCAGCATTTGAACCATCAGATGTAATAACTCTCTTTGTCTGCTTCTGTCTCTTTGTCTCTCAAATAAATAAAAATAAATATTATTTGAAAATTTTAAGTGTATTTAAAATAGAAAACAACTATTATTGCTAAATCAGAATCAATATTAGAACTAAAAATTTCTTCTTCTGTTCCACAGAACAGTATTATAACTACAAGTAACAGAATTTGTTCCTATACTGCTTTTCCAACATAATGGTTTCTTTTCTTTCACAGTTTTGCTAACTTCCTTTGATAAAGAATTTTACAGCAAGGATGAGCCTACAAAAAGGCACTAATAATCATAATCTAAATTAAATCTAATCAATCCTGGATGTTATTTGATTTAAAATCTAGCTTTAGTTAAAAATCAAGCTAAAAAATTAAGTTCTATTAAAAACAAGTCGATGTAACTTTTGCTTATAATATATATTGGCAGTACTGATATATAAATAATAAGATAAATTTTTATATTTAGAAATAATGTTTCAATATGGTCACTGGGTGTGACATACACCACTGAATAACTAAAGGTAAATTAGAATTCATAAATCAGAATCAAACTTAAATAAAAGTAATAAAAACAGCAAAAAACAAAATTGTGTGATAGAATTCTATATCCTCTTTTCATTATATAAAAAGACTAGGTTTATAGCAGGGGTAAGGAACTTTGTTACGGCCAAGGGCCATTTGGATATTTATAATATAACTTGCCGGCCATCCATACAGAACTATCAACTTAAAAACTGGCCTGCTATAGATTTACTGAATTTCAAGTCCTGCTTGCATTTGCCTTGGCAGCGTCAGATCAAATTATTTTTTTGGGCCTTATCTAGCCTGCAGGTCAGATGTTCCCCACCCCTGGCTTATACGAACATCTATCATAGAAATTTATATAGAGTGAAAACTTGAAGTTCTAGGCCACTAGTACTGCCTGTGACCTATTATACTTAAAAGAGCTTGTAACTGTTCATATGCAGCTTAACTGTTACATTTTTACCTCTATGTCCAAAAAACTGGTGCTAACATGACACCCCCAATAATTTAAAATTACACCAAAAAATTCTTACTTACTACAATGACATACCAAGTGAACTGACTACTAATTGCCAGTTTCAAAAAAAAAGCTGGAGGTGTTTATTCCTTCTAATCATTTAATTAGAATATTCCTTCTAGTCATTTAATTAGAAAAATATAAATGCTCACTTTGAAACTAACCAGACTTAGGACCAAAAAGAGTTTTGTGATACAGGATAAAAGGGTAGGATGTCCACAGCTATCATTTCTTCAAAAAAAGAAATTATTTCTGGGTCTTTTGTAATTTTACATTTTGATTTCATGGGATTTTTCAGTTTATTTCTCCTAAATGTACAATCAACTCTATTTCAATAAATTCTTTACAGATAATTCACAAATAAATTCTTAATTTATATAAATAAACTTAATGACAGGTTAAAACTAAAATATAATCTAAATTGGATGATTAATATAAAAAGATCACATATGCAAAACTGAAAATAGAAAAAAACAGTTATTATATAGTTCTAGGACAGAACACACAATCATGCTAAAAATTAATATCTGATTTCTTAAAAGTCTAAAGTTACTGTAAGGTTAAAAAAAAGTATTAAAAAGGTATGTAATGAGAATAAGTATTTGATAATGGTTGACATCTTTTTTTACAAAGAGCGTTATATATACAGCATTCTGTAAAAACACAGAATGACCTTTATGAGTATATTCCCCTAGGAAATTGGCTAAAAATACAAAGGTACAGTAATAAGATACAATAATAAAAATAAAAAAAGCCATGTTATATAATGCTTATAGTGATCTATGGTAAACTATAGAGCATAAGGTCAAAAGATGTTTTGTGTTTTCTTTAAGAGGTATAGAAGAATAAAAATCAAATATAAATGGTACTAAGAATGATAAAATTATAGTAATTTTTGATCTTATGTTTTAGTTTTCCCAATTTTTGGCAGTAAGCATTTCTTTAACTTGAAAAGAAAACCAAAGATTTTCTTAAACTGAAATGTTTTTACAAATCTTTAAAAAGTACAAAAAAAATTTAAGAGCTTGCCTCCTCTTTTAAGAACAAAATAAATTCTTTTAAACTCTACTCTGAATATTCAGCCTTACAGTATTACATATATCTCACAAGCATCAGAGAATCATGAGTATATTTAAATATATATATAAATAGATATAAACAGATATAGAAGCATTTAGCATCCTCACTGAACAAGATTTCAGGAGTAATTTCCTAACAGAAAACAATCTGATAGACTACTGCAGAAAAATGAAGAAAAACTCTAAGAATTTAGCACACATCCACTAGATGACAGTTATTTCTTTTATTTTAGCTCTCACTTTTAGTAAAATTATGGAAATAACTACCTTATCTTCTATTCCACAATATATCTATAGACCAAGGCAAAGGCAACAGTGTCTTCACTCTAACTTATTTCCTGTGTCAGCTGTTTGTAGTGTGAGAATGCAGTTAATAAATTTATATACATTAAGAAAATGTACATGAGAATCTCTCAAAAAGGACAGAAAAAAATGTGATATACTTCAGATTCAGAAGGACTAAGGAATAAAGAAAAAAAAAGTATGCCTCTTGATGAGGTTAGTGTTAATGCTGTGATATTAGAAAACTTGCACTAAGACTCTGCACTAATCCTCTCACACTGGGATTTCCTCCTGTCACTACAGCAATAAAAAAGCTAACAAAAACATTAAATATCCAATAAGCAAGTTCCTACAGCATTCAACATTCTTGATTATTCTTGGTTTTTTACCCAGGCAACAGAATTCTTCTACTTTGGAAGAGCTGATTCTCTTAGTGCTCAGTCTAATAAATGCATATAACTGACAGAATTTTTAAACAGCAGGGAATATAATACTCTTTGTATATAAGAACAATTTGAACATTAAAAATTCACAAATTTAATTCACCAAAAATAACCTTAGGTTAGCAAATGCAGGACTTTCTAATTCCAAAGAATGCTATCTTACTTAAAAGAAAAACTTGTTTCTGAAGCAAAAATAACTTAGCAAAATATAAGTAACATAAATAAAGCTATATACATATTAAGACCAGAATATTTTTATCTGTTATTTTTCATTTAATTGTTGACTTCCTTTCCTCATTTAAAATGACGTATACTTCATACTTTCTCACCAGTCCTTTGAAAACTACTATGCTTTCTGAACTTAAAGTGATGAAAACTGCACTCCTAACAAAATTTTATGCATGTTAACAACTCACTCATGTTCATTGATATAAAGTTCTGCCAGTTCATGCCAGGCTTCTTGATCTCCAACAAATCTGGTGGGAGGAAAGGAGGAAAAAAAGTGTGTAGATAGTCTGTAAATGAACAGCCTGGAGGCAAATAGGAAAATCAAATGCAAATTCCATTTTAATTAAAAAAAGATTTATCAGAATAACAAAACCCAATCCTCTTGTAAAACACTCACTGTTCCAGATACTCATTCAGTTCCCGAATGGCCTCCACATTTTTCCCCTGGGCTTTTCGAATGGCAATCTTACGCTTTCTTGCAGCCTATGGATTGACATTAATAAAGGATTAGGCCCTCATGATTCCCTGGGTTTTTGTAAAGAAGATAATTTGTGCAAATTATTATCTCAATGCCAGTGAAATTCCACTGTAGAACCACTGCTTAGTGGGAGTTTATAAACATACCCCATGACATCCCACTTGGGGAATTCAAACATTCCTCTAACAATCACATATGCTTTACTCTTGATGCATAAAATGTATGCATCGTTTCACCCAAATAAATAACCATCCAGATTCTGATAATTACAAGCCAGCAGGGAATCCTAATCTTTCTCCAAAGTAAAGCCTTTTAGTCTGTCTCATTCCTAAGATCTGTATCTTAAGAGGTAGAGGGATAGTGGAGATTAGGGAAAGAAATCTCACCATGGCCACTTGAATGTCATTACATAAATATGGCTTCTAACAACTTTTTTCACAATTTTAAGGGAAAAGTATGCCTGTCTTTCAAAAGAATAATATAGGTCCTGAAAGAAATAAAGTTTGCTATTTTAAAGTTTAAAAATGATAAATATAAAAGCCAAAAGCCATTGATATACTCATTCATCAAAATGTATATCAGACATCTTTGTTTGTCAGGTACTATGCTAGACAATGAAAACATAAAGATAAAAAAAGAATAGACAATTCATTGCAGAAGCAGGAGCTCAGTCTCATGAAAAAGATACACCACTTTAAGTAAAAAAAAATTAATGCAGTAAAGGCAATGATAGAGAATTCTAGGCTGTTGTGACAAGGAGAGGATCCTAACACAGGCTGTGGTGGAGTGGAGAAGTAGAAGTACAGGAAATAATTAAAGTCCCAGATGTGATAGTTGCACTGAAACAGAAAAGCTAAGTAGACATTAAGAAAGCAAAATAGGAAGTTATGTGTGGGACACTGCATACTAGGAAGAACACAAGAACAAAGTCATACAGAAAAGTAGCATTATGTGTAATCAAGACTGTAAGTTTGAGGCGAAAGTGCACTTTCTAAAAAGGGTCCAGAGAGTACTATATGAGTTATTAAATTTGCATCCTCTCTATATGTTTAATTCTAACAGAAGGATAAACAATAAAGCATACTATAAATGACACCAAGTTAAGCTTCTAATTATGAACGTGATATAACACACACTCCACAAAATGCAGGCGGAAGTAAAATGGATAGGGCCTCTCTGAAATAACAAGAGCTACAAACTGTGGGGTAGGGAGCTTAGTGCTTTGGCTCTAAAGAAAATGTAAGTGAATTTTAGATAAGTAAAAGATAATTTTAAAAATAAGACTGAGAACACTATAATAGTAGTAATATTTTAGAAATAAAGAATGACATTTTACAAAAATTACATGCTTGATTTTTCAACTCAGGTATGCCGAAGGTATAGCACAGTGTATGCCACACAGTAGGCACAACGAAACATTTTTGGACTCACTACTTAAAACAAAAAACACCATAATAAATGCCAAGTTTTAAAAAGTCTCAAAGATTCAGAAGTAAAAGTAAAACCCTTGGAGTAACTCAAACCCTAAAGCAATTAGGAAGGATATCAGGCTTAAAGAGGGAGCCATGTGCGAAGTCCTTCTGAAAATAGGCATGGGATACATTAACATTTAATTAAGAAACTAATTTCTTTCAGATACAGAATGATTTCAACAAGCAGCATCATCATTTGAAACATAACTATACTTAACTCCTTTCACTAGTCATAACATTACTTCTTCTAAATGGTATAGGAAAAAGAGGCTAGATTTTGAAATCAGAAACACAAGAAACTGAATCCCAACTCTATCACTTAGCAGCATTTTTAACCTCTTTAAACCTCAGTAATAGCCGCTACCTTCAAGTATAAATGTAAAGCAATTAACACAGAACATAGCATATAATGGTATCAAGTAATGTTATCTCCTTTTTTTACTTTGGTTTATGCTTAACATTTATGTGTTAAGCCTTACCACAAACTCTAACAATGAGCTTTAAAGCACTGGCACAGATTTGCTTGGTTTGATATTTATAACTGCTTTCAATCATTGTAGGATTTGTACCAGCTGAGATGAAATACTCTAAAACGCAGTGAAAACTTGAATTTAAATAGCACAATTCACACACACACAGACACACACAAAGTATAAATGTGAATAGTAACCAATACATCTACTATCTTAGTAAGCAGTATGGAAAGAATACTATAATGGACATTGTTAAGGGCAGTATGAGTTTAGATGTACTGAAATCATCTGTTTAACTCACTTTTTCAGTTACTTGCTACTATTCTCCTACTAGTGAACATTTACTAGTGTTTCCAGATCAACAGTATTTTGCAGAATACAGTTTGTAAAGCACTGCTTTAGAGTGCTTCAAAGAAATTAATGTTTAACATTATCTTGTAAAAAACAATCCTTTTGCAAATGATGAGAAATAAAGGTGCAAACAACTTAAATGCATCAGAAAGGTAGAATTAGAAGTAGGAACCAAACTTTCTGATTCCCTTCCTAGATTCATCCTTCGGACTTGGTGAGAGAAAAAAATCGAAAATATTACAAATTATCTGATATCATTAAAGTATTTTTTGTGGTGGGTAGAATATAATTTTTAAGAATTAAGTAAGAGAAATCAGTATTAACTCTGTAATAGCCAACTATAAAAATAGTTTTTCCATTTCATTTTCATAACTTTTTTTTTTTTGGACAGGCAGAGTAGACAGTGAGAGAGAGAGAAACAGAGAGAAAGGTCTTCCTTTTGCCATTGGTTCACCCTCCAATGGCCGCCGCGGCTGGTGCACTGTGGCCGGCTCACCGCGCTGATCCGATGGCAGGAGCCAGGTACTTATCCTGGTCTCCCATGGGGTGCAGGGCCCAAGCACTTGGGCCCATTTTCATAACATTTTAATAAAAGAAACACGTTATTACTCAATGTGAAGCTTGCTCCCAAATCTCCACTATATAGTAATAAATTGTTTGATCATGTAAAACCTAAGATACAGTATTTTATCTCCTAATATTCTAAAGTTTAGAACAAGCTTTTAAGTGGTAACTGCTTAGCTATGCAAAACCAGTCTCCCTAATGAAAATATACATGACAACTTCAAGAAAAATAACTTGGCAATCAGTATCATAGAGGCAAAATTATATTATTAAGTCATATAGTTCTTTATTAAACAACAGCCTTTTCCAAGTTATTTCTTTTAAAGAAAAATAACACCACATTTTGGCATAAGAACCTATCTTTATTTATCATGATTGTTTTAAATTAGCGTTAAGCAAGGATTTCATTTTCAGCCAAATGGAGTAACAAGGACCAGATTTGTCCTCCTGCCTGAAACAATCTAAGAACTGAATTAAATACATGAAATAACTATTTTTAAGGTACAGGATATCAGGCAATGAAACAAAACAGCTTAGCTTTCTTTTTATTGTTCTGATCACTGCCTTGAGAGAATTTTATGGGTGCTGTACAAGCAGGGAAATTCAGGTTGAGTCCAGTAGAGTCCCAAAGCTCAAGAGAACAACTGAGAGCCCAGGAAAATCAAAGATGCTAGAGTTCAGGCCGGCGCCGCAGCTCACTAGGCTAATCCTCCACCTTGCGGCACCGGCACACCGGGTTCTAGTCCTGGTCAGGGTGCCGGATTCTGTCCCGGTTGCCCCTCTTCTAGGCCAGCTCTCTGCTGTGGCCCGGGAAGGCAGTGGAGGATGGCCCAAGTGCTTGGGCCCTGCACCCCATGGGAGACCAGGAGAAGCACCTGGCTCCTGCCATCGGATCAGCGCGGTGCGCTGGCCGCGGCGGCCATTGGAGAGTGAACCAACGGCAAAGGAAGACCTTTCTCTCTGTCTCTCTCTCTCTCACTGTCCACTCTGCCTGTCAAAAAAAAGATGCTAGAGTTCATAAGACAGAGAAAAAAAAAAAAAAAACAGAATAAGGACACTGAAGTTTGAGTACTCAGCTTTGGGCTGATCAGCACAATACAGATGGCAAAACTATCCAAGGGCAAAGAAAAACCAAACAGAAAGGTTAGAAGAAAGAGCGCCAAGCACTCACACGCGGTTGAGAATAGTGCCTCTTCCATCAGTTACATTGGAAAATGTTCTAAGTCATGGTGAACTGGATACAGAACCCAGAAAGAATGCGGAATAAATAACTTTACTCTAAAATTTGTTTTAATTCTAAGAAGTACCTTAACTGTATCAAAGAAGAAAGCTCAAGAATATTTATAGGAATACAAAACTGGAGAGGGTTAAAAGAAACTTTGGATGATGATAATTTTTGTTCACTATCTTGATCATGGTGATGGTTTCATCACAGGTATATATAAACAATGTTAAGTCTTGAATATTTATTAACTTTCAGTTTGCATTTCCCTCTTGTAGTTTGTCTCCTATAAAAAATGTCAACATTCTTAATTTTCTATATTTCTGGTTTGAATTACTCTTTGCAAAACTTGCTATTTCTCAAAAATGAAAACTTCTATATTTGTAATTCTAATATTTGGAATTAAAATGTCTATTACAAAAAATACTCAAATACAATACATCTTTTAAAAATGCAATGAATTCCAAGAGAAAAAAAAAACATTTAAAAATCTTAAAAGGTAGGCCCAACATGGTGGTGCAGCACGTTAGGCCACCAGCTATGATGCCAATATCCCCTATGAGCATCAGTTGGACTCCTGGCTACTGCATTTTTCAATCCAGTTTCCTGCTAATGTGCCTGAGAAAGCAGTGGAAGATGGTCCAAGTGCCTAGATCCCTGCCACCCACATGGGAGAGAGGGATAGAGTTCTGGGATCCTGGCTACAGCCTGGTCAAGTCTAGGCCACCATAACAGTTTGAACTAGAGGACAGAAGATCCCTCTGCTCCCCACCTACCCAAAATTTGCCTTTCAAATAAAGAAATAAATCTTTAAAAAAGTCTTACAGTCTTGCCATTTACTTCACATAAGCACAGAATATACAATGTATCTTATATAAAACATCCAGCCAATTATAATACAAAGATATTGGCTTAAAAAGTTA